TTGTGAAGCTTAAGTGAGTCAGTACAGGGATTCTGGTGATTTACTGCGGCATAACAACCCCAACATGTAGTACTGTTAACCATTTTCTTACTCTCACAGATTCAGACAGAGCACATTGGGGTGGCTTTCTTCTGTTCTACAGTATCTGGGGCCTCAGCTGAAAAGAGTTGAAGGCAGGGGACTAGAATCATCTAGAAGTGTCTTCCCCTAACATGTGGCAGTTAGGAGTGGCGCAGTGGAGACTGCAGGCCAGAACATCCACACATGGCCTCTCTGTGGATCCTGGGCTTCCTCCCAGCATGGAGGCTGGGTTCCAAGAGTTCCAAGAATGAGTGTTCCCTGAGACTCAAGCAGAAGTGTCACGGTCATTTTATTATTATTTATTTTTATTTTTTTATTTTTCGAGAAGGAGTCTTACTCTGTTGCCCAGGCTAGAGTGCAGTGGCGTGATCTAGGCTGACTGCAACCTCTGCCTCCCGGGTTTAAGTGATTCTCTCGCCTCAGCCTCCCGAGTAGCTGGATTACAGGCGCCCATGACCACATCTGGCTGATTTTTTTGTATTTTTAGTAGAGATGGGGTTTCACCATGTTGGTTGGCCAGGCTGATCTCAAACTCCTGACCTCAGGTGATCCGCCCGCCTCAGCCTCCCAAAGTGCTGGGATTGCAGGCGTGAGCCACCACACCCAGCTGGCATGGTCATTTCTAACCATATTTTATTCCTGGGAGCAATCAATAGAGGGGACATAGCCCCACTTCTTGATTAGAAGAATTTAAAGGAATTTGGAGTCATGTTTTAAAATGGCTTGAACAGTGCCTGATCCCATAAGCACTTATACGACAACTAGGAGAATTAGTAACGGTATAATAGTACCAGGGTTCAATCCTATGTGTGTTGAAATAGTCGTATCAGGCGACACTAGTCATAAAGGGGTTAATGGAGGAAGCATGGGGACAGGTCCCTGGAATCTGACGTCCCACCTAGGCCAGAGAGACACTGAAGGATACAGCTAGGATAATATAAGCTGAAATGTCTTGGTGCCAGGCATCAAGCCAAGCACTTTCCATGAATGATCTTCTATCATTCATACAGTAATCTAAGAGGCAGATCCTAACATTATGCCCATTGACGGATGAGAAGCTAGAAGCTCAGAGAGGTAATGGGTCTTGCCCAAGGCCACACAGCCAGGGAGGCACAGCAAAGATTTGAACTCAGGCAGTGGGTTCTCAGCCCTGGTCCTCACTTCCCAAGACTACGCTGGGCAATAGTCCAGCCCGCCAGGTGGAACAGACCGTCCTGACTGTTTGGTGACAGACAGGGAGGGCTTGTTCTGCTGGACGGAGAGCCAGAACCAGGAGGTTTGTCAGCTGCAAGCCTACAGCCACAGGCTGGGGGAATGGGGCCAAGACCTCCGTCTGGAAGAGTGGGGGAGGGAGTGTGTGGAGAGAACCCAAAGAGCAAGGCACAGCCCCCTCCAGAGGCAGCCAAGCACTAAGGAATGGAAATAAAGCCCAGGGATCACAACAAGGCCCCAACTTCTGCTTCCTGGAGCCCCAACCAGCTTGTCACTGGTCCCTCACCTGGAGCAGGGCTCACCTGCTACTGGAGGTCAGGAGGGAAATCTCAGCTGTAGGGTGAGGAGGATGGGGAGAGGATCACCATTCCATACAACAGCCAGGGAAAGGGCACAGAGGGGGCAATTCCAACAGCAACAAGCACACCTGGTGGGGACTGCAGGATGAGTCTATCTTCTCTTCTCATCTACTCCCTCTCCCTTCCTCCCCTCATTCCACTCCTTCATTCTATCCCCTCTTCTATTGATTGACTGATTGATTGATTGAGACAGAGTTTCACTCTTGTTTCCCAGGCTGGAGAGCAACCTCCGCCTCCCGGGTTCAAGCGATTCTCCTGGCACAGCCTCCCGAGTAGCTGGGATTACAGGCATGTACCACCACACCTAGCTAATTTTGTATTTTTAGTAGAGACAGGGTTTTCCCATGTTGGTCAGGCTGGTCTTGAACTCCCGACCTCAGGTGAACCGCCCACCTCGACCTCCCAAAGTGCTGGGATTAAAGGTGTGAGCCACCATTCCCAGCCCCACTCTTCTACTTATTTATCCTATACTTCACTCCCTATTCCTCCCTCCTCCTGTCCCCCCTCCTTCCCTTCTTCTTGTCTTCTTTCCTTCCTTTCATTCCTTCTCTACATGGAACCTCAGATGGGAGAAGCTACATTCTCCAAAGACAAGGGGAAACCTGGTCTGAACCTGGCCCTAAAAAACCCATTTTATGGATTCCATCATAAAATGAAACATGAGGCCAGGAGCTGTGACTCACACCAGCACTTTGGGAGGCCAAGGTGAGACGATATCTTGAGGCCAGGAGTTCAAGATCAGCCTGGGCAACATAGGGAGACCCAGTCTCTACTAATAATAAAAAATAAAAAAATTAGCCAGGCATGGTGGCATGCTCCTGTGGTCCCAGCTACTCCAGAAGCTGAGGTGGGAGGATCTTTTAAGCCTGGGAGGTTGAGGCTGTAGTGAGCCATGATTGCACTACACTTCAGCCTGGGCAGCTGAGTGAAACTTTGTCTCTAAAAAAAAAAAGAAGAAGAAGAAAAAAAGAAAAAGAAAAGAGAGAAAGAAACATGATTCCTAAGCTGTCACAAAACCAGCCCTAACAGTGTCACGAGCCTGCGATGACTTTCCTTGACCCTCCAGAACTTAGCTGGAAAAGGGGTGTCGACTCCTCTCTGCCTCCTAAGTATAGATGGCATCCCCCAGGGTGTGTGAGTATCCTGGGTGTTCCTAGGAGGCTCATGGGGCATGGATGATAAGCTGGATCACCTTGAGCTAATGGTTAAGCCCCTCTGAGCCTCCGTTTTCTTGGCTGAAACAATTTACAATTTTGTGGGGTTGAGACTGGGTGACACGCAGTTGCACCCTGTCACAGGAGTGCTTTGGCCTTGCTTAGTCCCTTGCTGGCACCAGCCTCTGACCTTTCTCCTAGGCCTGGAGGCAGAGCCAACTCCCAGCTGATGTTGGCGAGTGTCTGGGAGGGTGGACAGGCAGGCTGTCGGGGCCGGCCGCGTGCCCAGAGAACCTTCTGTGCCACTGTTCCCTCAGCCAGGCAGACCCGGCCCACCGGCTACTTCCTGTGCCCCTGGCAGGACAGGGCTGCAGGCCCCTCCTCTCCTGCATCTCTGCTCAGCTGATGGTGCTGGCCACCCCTCCTCCCCCCAGGCCCTGGAAACAGAAGTCTCCAATATAAATGCAAATTTGCTGCGGTCCCCAGTCTCGTCTGGCAGCTCCAGCCTGTGCTGCAGGCTGGGGACAGGAGCTGACACTGGCCCAGAGGAGATAAGGCACTTCTGGGCCACCCCCACCCCCAGAACCAACCACTCCTCAGCCTATCAGCTCCACAAAAAACCCCAGGGAATCCTGGCCAGCCTGCTTTTTTTCACTGTCCCATAAGGCCTGAGCTGGGCTGCAAAGGCCCCCCTTGCCATAATTAAGGAGGGGGCATCCCTCAATGGTGAGGATGCTCACCTGCCTGCCCTCCAGGGGCTGGCAGGAACAAAGCAGGAAGCAAGAGAGGTGGGAAAAAGGATGGCACGACGATGTGGGGATCTCACCTCTGCCCCATCCTCCGTGAGGCTCAGGGCCACCTCTAGCCCATAGCATTCCTTTGTGTGAATTAGACACAGGTACCCTTTCTTCCTGGTGCAGCCCCTTGGTGGGATGCAAGGCATCCCCTTAGCCTCCAGCTGGGCTCCCTGGAGTGCAGTACAACTTGCACAGCTGTAAGCTACCGCCTTTGGCAAGACGCATCTTGTCTCTGGGACTTGGTTTCCCTTTGGCCAGGGGAATCATCTAGAGAGACCCCTAATGTTGCATAACTCCACTGTAGGCGAGTGCATGAAGCTCCTGGAGTTGGGCAAGACAGCATCACAGGTGAGGTCTCTCCAGCTTGGATATCTTACCATCTTTTCATCCCTAGTTCCTGGACACTCCATTCCCTAAGCCATGACACCATGATTTTTTTTTTTTTTTTTTTTTTTTTTTTTTTGAGACAGAGTCTTGCTCTGTCACCCAGCCTGGAGTGCAGTGGTGGGATCTCGGCTCACTGCAACCTCCACCTCCCAGGTTCAAGCAATTCTCCTGCCTCAGCCTCCTGAGTAGCTGGGATTACAGGTTCACACCACCATGCCCTGCTAATTTTCTTGCATTTTTAGTAGAGACGGGGTTTTACCATGTTGGCCAGGCTGGTTTTGAACTCCTGACCTCAAGTGATCCACCTGCCGCGGCCTCCCAAAGTGCTGGGATTACAGGTATGAACCACCGTGCCCAGCCAACTCCATGATTCTTAACAAGGGATCGAGTCTCTGGCAAAAGCATTCTGTGATCCACAAGGAGACAGAGGAGAGGAGGTTTGGAGTCGACACAGGACTCTCCCATGCCACAAGCCCAGGTTCAAGTCCAGACATTACTGGCTCCGGCTCTAATGTCACCTCCTCAGAGAAGCCTTCCCTGATGGCCTCATCTGGAGCAGTTCCTTCCCTACCTCCAGAGGCCATATCACATTGCCCTGTGGGTTTTTTCTCCCTGGCGTTTATCGTTATGTGAAATTATCTCATTCATTGATGTCTTCCCGTGGTTATTTTCTGGCTCCCCTCTCCCTTACTGGAATTCAAATTTCTACAAGAGCAGGCACCATGAATCAATAACTTCTGCCCTTGACACTTTCTGGGGGATAATGACACCTCCCCTCCCATTGCGTTAGTGTAAAGTGTGCAGTGAGACAGCCAGAGTTGCTCAGCGCAGAGCCAGCCCGCAGTGAGCACTCCATAAATGCTAATGGTGGTTGTTACTGTTATTAGGAGAGGGCTGTGAGTGCCCTGGTCCCACAGGTGCAACTCCTGACACATCTCCACAAATTCCAGACCAAATTCCGCTTCTTCCGGCCATGCTGCCCGCACCCACCACTGAGGCCATTTACTCACCTGAGACCCTGGGCAAACTGCTGCATCTCTCTCCGCCTCCGTTTCCTTCTGTAAACTGACAGGGCAATCTCCTTATTGCCTGAAACTCCACAAAGTTGCTGTGAGTGTCAAATGACACAATGAGAAGGATCACACTTTGTAATCCCTAAATATGATTTCAATACCGGGAAGAGCTCCGAAGGCCCCCCCTAGCCGCCCGGCCTTTGACTGTGGCAGCCTCACTGCACCCTCCAGAGCCTCCCAGCGCCCTCAGCCTGGAATCCCAAGGCCCTGCTTTCTCCTGACCCAACCCAGCCCTGGCTTAAGGCCTTCCTCAAGGAGCAGTTTCCACGGAAGCAGTGTTTCTCAAAGTTTGGGCAAAAATCACACGACCTCCTTCCCACCCCCATCTGCAGGCTATCTTTCACCAACTTACTTAATATTTTTCTTTAAATAGCCTCATTAAAAAAACAAAAAGCCAATTCATGCTAATGGGAAACTTTGTGCTGCCATACATGAAAATTAGTATCAATTACTATACATGTTGATATTTGCTAAAATAAATGCTTAAGAATTAAATGCTTGGTACCCACCTCTCACCCCTCCGAAGGAAGGGAATCATGTTCAAAGGCTTTCGAGTTCTCTGGAAGACTTCTTTTTCTTTATTTTCTCATCCAAGACAATCCAGGAGACTTTTAAAAGATTCCTGACTGGGAGCTCATGCCTGTAATCTCAGCATTTTGGGAAGCCAAGGCAGATGGATTGGTTGAGCCCAGGAGTTCGAGACCAGCCTTGTCAACATGGCAAAACCCCATCTCTAAAAAAAACACAAAAATCAGCCAGGCATGGTGGTGTGTGCCTGTGATCCGAGCTACTTGGGAGGCTGAGGTGGGAAGATCATTTGAGCCCAGGAGGTCAAGACTGCCGGAGGCGTGATCATGACACTGCACTGCAGCCTGGGCAACAGAATGAGACTCTGTCTCTTTAAAAAAACCCAAATCCTTCATTGACCGGACAAACATTTTATGAGAATGTTATGTGCCCAGCGCAGGAGGCAGCAGCTATAGGGGACCCCTTTTCCTGCCTTCAACACATAGAGGTGCTGGTTGAGGCAGAAGCTTATGGCCATTGGAAATGCAATTAATTAGCCAAGAATCATTACCAAAGCAGGCCTAATTTCTTGGCTCTTTTCTCTTAACATCACTAATAATGGCATCTTACCTGTCAGGAGTCAGGAGAGGGTAGGAAGGAAGAGGACAGGAAAAATATCTGCTACAGTAACTGTTTCTTCACGCAACAGAACATGCCTGCTAACAGCTCCGGTTCAAAACATCATCTCCGGGACCCCTACTTTGCTGATTCCAGACTCGGTTCAAAACATCATCTCCGGGACCCCTACTTTGCTGATTCCAGACTCTTGGGAAGGGCAATTGAACACAATGGCATATTGCTTCTTGGAAAGGAATCAAAAGTGGATCCTCTGGCAAATTTGGTAAAATTATCAGAAGCCTTAAATTCTATGGGCAATTTCATTTCTATGACTTTATCTAAGAGAAATGATCATGAAGGTGGACCACAGCAGCTCCAGGATATTCTTGGCAGCATTATTGATCATATGAAAGCTGAAAGCAACTTAAATGTTCATCATAGGGGAGTCAGTAAATAAACACTGTATATTCCATACAATGGAAAACTATGCAACCATTTGCCAATGATGTTGTAGAATATTTAGACATGGAAAAATGTTCATTCATGTTAGGTAAGTGGAAAAGTAGCTACAAAACAGGATGCACATATGATCCCTTTAGAAATATATATATACATGTGCCTGGCGTGGTGGCTCACACCTGTAATCCCAGCACTTTGGGAGGCCAAGGCAGGCGGATCATAAGGTCAGGAGATCGAGATCATCCTGGCTAACATGGTGAAACCTCGTCTCTACTAAAAAATACAAAAAAAATAGCCGGGTGTGGTGATGGGTGCCTGTAGTTCCAGCTACTCGGGAGGCTGAGGCAGGAGAATGGCGTGAACCCAGGAAGCGGAGCTTGCAGTGAGCTGAGATCGCACCACTCTGCTCCAGCCTGGGCGACAGAGCAAGACTCCATCTCAAAAATAAATAAATAAATAATATATATACAAGTGCATCATAGAAACACGGGGATGGCTTTGGGTTGGAAAGGATTTCTGAAGCAAGAAACAGGACAAACCATAAAGGCAAATATTAATAAAGTAGTTACATTGCAACTGATACCATTCATCAAAATTCACCATTTTTTAAAAGTAGAAAGACAAGTCACAAGCTAGAAGATGTCGGCAACAATTTGACTGACAAAGATTAGCACCCAAATATATAAAGAGCCCCTACAAATCAATAAGACAAGGACAAACAATCCAAAAGAAAAAGATTTGGGCTAAAGATTTGGACACACATAGAGAAGCTTGAAAAGATGCTCAACCTCTGAGTAATTAGAGAAATCCAAATTAAAAGCTCATTTCCTGTCTACTCAATTGGCAAAACTTAAAAAGCTAGACAAATCCAAATGTGATCAATTATGTGGAACAAGGACTCCTTGACACTGGTGATAAGAGAGTCAGTTGTACAACCACTCTGGAGAACAATTGGGCATTATTTTGCACTTATTCCCAGCAATCCATTCCTGGAGACATTCTAGAAAAACGTATCAGGAGGTATGTACAACAATGTTTAGACTGGCAGGACTGAGCCCTTCCTGGGGCACCTAATAAATTCTTCTTTCTTCTTCACTGCCTTCTTTGCACTTCTGAGTGGTGTCACTCAATCCTGCCAGGTAGCCACTGAGCAAGCCAGATTCCATGGGCAGAGATGGGTGTCATCTGTGTGAAAGTAGTGACCCTCCCAGGGAGTCTGGGAGAGGCCAAGACTGCCCCATGTGTTAGGAAAAGAGGTGGCAGGGTTGTGGGCATGTCTAGTTAACAAATGACAGTTCATCCAAATAACAGACTGCTCTGCTGCTGTACAAAAGAATGGGTAGCTCCACACGGGCCAATAGGAAACATCTCCAAGATACACTGCAGGCAGAACAGCCACCATTGTGAAAAGGGGAGGAGTCAAGTGTATATGTACATGTTCATTAGCATGTGCACAAAATACCTTTAAGCACAGGAAACTGGCCTCAGCAGGGAGAAGGTGTGTGGCTGGGGGTCAGAGGTGGGAGAGAGACTTGCTTTTCAGGGCATCTCCTTTTGTTTCTTTTTATTTGTACATTGCACATAATACTATGAAAAAAATAACTACAATAATGTTAAAATGGAAACAAAATGCAGTCACATCAAATAGAACGCATATGTAACTATTAGGAGACTTGGGCGTTGCTCATGACCCGTTGACACAATGCTACTTGGTAGGCTCTTCATTAAGTCTTTCAAATTCGGAAAGTTTTAAAATATTTTTCCAGCCAGCTTTTTTAGATTTCAGACTTTTCCATGGACCCTTGACGAGCCCATGGCTTCTTGGTATTGTGCCTACTGGGCCAAATGCACAGAACAGAACTTATCACTTATGCCCAGCGGCCCACTGGTTCTCCAAGGGCTACTCTTCAACACACATTCCACTGACTTACATCATCTACTGGGTTCTACCCCAGGGGTGCTTTTTAGCACAAGTGAATCCATACTCCCTTGTTCACTGTGCTCCAGCCACACTGGCTTTCTTGTTTCTCAACCCCCCAACTATGGTAGGCAGATTCTAAGATGGCCCCCAGTATTTCAGCCCAGTCCTCCCCATCCTGTGTACATGTCCTGTAAAATACCCTGAGTTGTGAATATGGTGGTGTTTACTCTTGTGATCAGGTTATGTTATTTGGCATAAATGACCTTAAGATACAGAAATTCTCTGGGTATGCCTGATATGATTTGGATGTGTGTCTCCTACAAATCTCATGTTGAAATGTGATTCCCAGTGTTGGAGGTGGGCCTGGTGGGAGGTATTGGATCACCAGGGCAGATTCCTCATGAATGGTTTAGCACCATCCCCTTGTTAATAAGTGAGTTCTCACCCAGTTAGTTCATAGGAGATCTGCTCATTCAAAAGAGTCTGGGGCCGGGCGCCATGGCTCATGCCTGTATTCACAGCACTTTGGGAGGCTGAGGTGGGCAGATTGCCTGAGTTCAGAAGTTCGAGACCAGCCTGGGCAACATGGCAAAACTCCATCTCTACCAAAAATGCAAAAATATTAGCTGGGCATGGTGGCGTGCACCTGTAGTCCCAGCTACTCAGGAGGCTGAGGCACGGGAGTCACAGAGGTTGCAGTGAGCCGAGATTGTGCCACTACACTCCAGCCTGGGCGACAGAGCAAGACTCTGTCTCAAAAAACAAAAATAAAAAATAAAAGAGTCTGGCACCTTCCCCTTTTCTCTCTTGCTCTGGCTCTCACTATGTGACACCACTTGCTCTCCCTTTACCTTCTACATGATTGGAAGCTTCCTGAGGCCTCACCAGAAGCAGATGCTGGAGCTATGCTCGTACAGCCTGAAGAGCCATGAGCCAATTAAACCACTTTTCTTTATAAATCACCCAGCCTCAGGTATTTCTTTATAGCAATGCAAAAGTGAACTAACACAGCACCCGATCTAATCCTATGAGCCCTTTTAAAGCAGTGAGTTTTCCCTGGTTGGTCACAGAATAGGAAGTAAAAGACGAAGCATGAGGAGGATTCAACACATCATTGCTCACTTGAAGATGGAGGGGCCACACATCAAGGAATGCAAGTAGCTTCTAGGAACTAACAGCCAACAAGAAAATAATCTGTTACTGTCAGTCCCACAACCGCGAGGCATTGAACATTGCCAACAACAAGAATGAACTTGGGGGCAACCCATTTTCTGCAAGACCCATCTCTCTGCAACAGAGAGAGCTTTTCTTTCTTGTGACTATTAAACTTCTGCTCTTAACCTCACTCTGGTGTGTCCAAGTCCTAGTTTTCTGTGGCCATGAGATAGCAAACCTCGGGTATTACCTCAGATGAATGACACCGCCTCCTTGTGGGGGCCTGCCTGGGATCCAAGGTAGACTCCCTGAAAGGGTGAGTATAGGTGCAGACCCCAACTCTTTCATTTTAAGGACTCTGTCCTCCATTTTCTCGGGGAACAGGCTTGCCAGGGAGAACTTAGCCAATCCTTCAGTGCCCTCAGGGTGTTGGGAATGTTGGCTTTGTTGCCAACTGGTCTCCTTTCATGGAGAGCCTAGCCATTGTGTGGGGCTGGAAGAAGTTCAGAGGCAACTGAGAGTTCTGGCCAAGGCAACACTCTGGCATTACCTGAAAACTTCTGGACTAACCCCAGCTTCCAACAGCCCCATGGGTGACAGCAACAGGATCTCCAAGATTTTTCTATCAAAAATTTCCTCCTTTCCTCTCTGCAATTGCAGAAAAAGAAAAGAAAAGAATGAAATTGGAAGTGGATTTTTTTCTCCAAAGCCTTCATATAAGAACTAAGCCCAGCCTACACCTTGGTTTCTACCTTGTAATATCCTGAGCAAAGAACCCAGTTGCTCTGTGCCAGACTATGACTTACAGAACTGTAAGCTAAATGGCTGTTTGTTGGTGATGATTTGTTACATAGCAATAGACACTAATACACAGGCAAAGCTGGCTCCACTCTGCGTCTTTTCTCAGATGGGTCCCTCAGCCTGGAAGGCTCTCCCCAAGTATCCACGGAGCTACTCCCTCCCTCCCACTAGGTCTCTGCTCAAAGGTCCTCCCCTAGAGAGGCCCGGACCATACCATCTGGAATAGCACCACCCCCTCATTTTCTGTTCCCCTGCCCACTTGATTTTT